GTCAAAAGTAAATTTTTCCAGTACCTAGTTTTCGCACTGCGGAAAACAAAAGAAAAATTAAGGAAAAACGGGAATTTTTACGCAAAATCTGTTTTCGATACAAGACATTTTTACTGACTGTTTATATTAGCATTTTCTCTAAACCATGCCTTTTTTAAAATATTTTGACTTATTTTTAGCTGTTTAGGAACATTTTCATTTTCCATTTTTTTAAAATTATTTTTCTAAAAATATCAATAAAATTTTATTTGTTGGTTAAAAAAGCTTGAAAATTTAATAGAATGCTCCTAGTATATTGTTTCAAAGGCAGATGAAAAATATTAAAAATCCTTAGACACAATTTTTTTATAAGTATTTAAAGTTTAAAAATTGACAAAATATGGAAAAATCACGAAAATTAGCAAATTATTTTGAGTTAAGAATTAGTAAAAATTTTTCTTTTTAAATCTAAGATTTTAAAATGTAATACAAGATTCCTTATAAGATTACCTACCTTTATGAAAAAAAGATGTCTGTAAAAAACTCAAATTAAATTTTTATTAGCGTTTGAAATTCAAATTTTTACAACATTGGATATTCACTCAATTTCTCGTGTAGCGATTTAATTATTTTGTTGTAATTTCAAAACGAATGACTGTAGATACATGAAAATTTCACTGAATATTTATATTAGAATTTCCTATACACTATACAATTTTGACTCTTTTTGAGCTGTTTAAGTACATTTTTAGTTTTCAATTTTTTTAGTTTTTTTTTCTATAAATATCAATAAAGTTTTATCTGTTGGGCCAAAAAGTGTAAAAAATTAATACAAGGCTCCTGATATATTGATATGTTGTGATATGATTAATTTGGAATTTATTATAGGTATACCTATTATAGGTCAATTTTTTTTAATATCATACATAAGTATATAATATGTCTTATCCCTGGACTAACATACCGTCTCCGCTCAGAATCGTTTTTCTTATACAATGATATTATATCATTGAATTCAAATTTAATACCATCCATTATACAGTAACCCACTTGTAACCTACTGTACAGCAGAGCACCTTTTTTAGTTTATGTATGTTACATTTTTTATTTGTTACTAAAATAGTAAAATATATTTAAAATTGAACAACATTTTTCTCATAAGAAGTTCTTTCAGCAATAATACCTTTCAACAATGGTTTTGCAATATTGATAATAAGCAGAGAGTTGAAACATTGAAAATAGTTAAGCTATCAGGTACATCGTACGTTTCATACTTTCATTAATTATATTTTATATACAACTATTAACTATTAATATCCGGTAGGCTGTCGGTAGCGAGTTGGTAACTATAGAAAAATTAGGTGAGGTCAGGTGGGGTAACAGCGACGTGGTTTTGCAAAATCTCAGTTTAATAGATATAATACATACCATCTTACTGTATTCTTACGTGGAACATGGTTTTTTATCATCCATTAATGAAGGTATCACGAATTCAAATTTGTGTCTAACCATAGACTCTTGAAATGTTCACCAAATATTTATATTAGCATTTTCTATACATGATACATCGTAAATTATTCAAACAATTTGATATTTCTTTATGAACTATTTATAGCCATGAGGAAATTTTTCAAATTTAATTCAAATATTACACATCCATGTCGTTGTACATGCTCAACAACTACTATACAGCAAAGCGATACCCACTTTACCACATTTTTTATCCGTTTATACTTCCAGGTTACTATTTTTATCACCTAAATAGTATAATATACCTTATGCATTTTAGTATTTATCAGGTAAATTACTGTTGATTTACTTAAATATTAGGGTCCTTATGATGTGCTTACTGTGCATTTAGGAATAGTTATAGTAATTATAAAATCGAAGTATGTTATTTTGGGGTGTGGGGTGTGCGGGTCTGTGTCCTTTACATAATTTTAACTTCCCCGGTGTTTGGTCTCTAGTTGGCCTATGGATTACGGGTTATAATCTCGGAATATTCGATTTGTTGGATGTTAAATACAAGCTCACCGGGAATCTGATAAAATGGTCGATCCAACTCAGAACTCGTATACGATAACAAATTATTGGGATACTCTATATTCTATAATATTATATACAGTACCACTATGGCCTATCTTATATTGTTCATTTTACTTGATGGATTTTATCAAACATTATTCTTAAAATATACAATAAGTGAATAAGCGAATTTCTAAAGTACATATTATATACGAGTATATACCGATATACATCATACTTTTGTATTTATTGTTATTATTATTATTTTTAATTCCGTGGTTTTCCGTAAATTTTTTATCTGCGGTATAAATTGTATAAAACATGATTAGCACATCGAAAATACGAGAAATATAAGTGTCGGGAGAATACGCTGGCTGGCGGGGGTCAACTAAACCAGTACCAAAAATTATTAGGTACCTACATAAAGATCGAAAAACATTTGAGAGGCTAATATAATATTTGAGGCCTGAGCCTAACCTATTTTGCCTATCACTTTAGCTATGGCACTCTCGACAACTGGTTCAACTTAAACTGTATATAAAACAAAAAAATTGTTACACCTATGACCCAGTGGTGTACACAGATATTTTCAATGGGAGGGGTAAATTACAAAATTATAAATTTAGATCTAATATATCTATATAATATTTCAAAAAATATCTTTTTGATCATATTCATTTTTATATACCTATACAGTACACAGTAAAAATATAATAAAAAATACCCTAAGGGGGAGTTGGTAAGCATTCATAACACTCCCATGTGTACCTAAGCTACTGGGTATACAGCGTTATTATAATGAATGAATTGGTAGGAGACGTGTATGCTTTTGCTGGTTTGATAAGTAGTACTATGGATTATGTATGTCTTAAACCGTGGTAGATACTTACCATCTGCAGAGATCTATAAAATATTAAAAACAGACGATTCCACATATTTTCTATTTTAAACTGAGTGATGAATGCATTGATTTAAAACTTTTTTGAGTCTGTTTCTGTTAGATCTAGTTGGTACTTTGGAGTATAGAGACTGAAAAGAAAAAACTATACAGCATTTTTCTTAATAATTGGGAAAAATAAAAAATAATTTACGGAAAAAACTAAAAAATGAGTAAATTAGTAGCTAATATGCAAAACAAGTTTTTGAAAAAAATGATTTAGTTTTTTTGGTGTACAACAATTTTTAGTTCGGTCCAAAAACTTGAAAATGTAATACAAGGTTTGTCATATAAGTTATTATAGATACCGGTATATTTATACTTTACCAGGCACCCTTTTTTTTTTTTTTTAGGAACTTATGTAGTTAAGTACGCTGAAAACGATGGCGAAATCCGAATTTGTCGAACGGACTTAGTTTTGAAGTTATGGCCTAATGAAGTTCACTATTTCGGAGCGCAGCGACGAGTGCCGTAAAACGTGTAATCACTGCCTATACGCTATAATACTACGACATAACATAGATTAACATAGATTTAAATCGTTTAATAATTGTTGTACCGATTCACGCGTAATCACTGCAACTTTGAACTTCCATGAGTTTTGAACGGTAAGTTTCCGGGAATTATTTTAAACAGTTTTGAATTCAGCATAAAAAACCATGTATTTTTTAAAAAAAGAGTGTCCGGTAAAGAAGATTTGAGATTTGTTCCAAAATGGCAAAATAGTGAACTTCAAAACTAAGTCCGAGCGCTAAATTCTGACTTCACCATCGTTTTCAGCGTACTTAACTACATAGGTTTAAAGAAAAAAAGGGTGCCCGGTAAAGTAGAAAATTTCCACGAAATTAGATATTTAAATGAAGAATAACGATTTTAGATTACCTACTTTTATTTATTACTTTATTTTAATAGAAATACCTATAGGTAACTATATCATTAAATATACCTAGGTACTTCGTAATGTAGGCTGACATAACTATAATATCGTCTTAGCTCAGAATCGTTTATCGTATATTCGTATTAATTTATTAAATTCAAATTTAACATAAACATTACAACAGTATTACACTATTGTCTATAATATTATAGTGACTTACACAATAACGAGGTACACTCGAGTACTCGACACCAGTAGCTGCTGAATAGTTCCCCCTTTTTAATTTTTGAGATGTATACAATTAGTAGTCAGTACAATTATTAGTTGTGAAAACATTAGTAGTTTAGTTCCATTAGGCTATTTACTATTTAGTACCTACGGGGTACGGGCTGTGACCTATGCGGTTATAATGTACAAAATCAAACCATTTACAAATATTACAATGCACGAATTTGTTATCAGTATTTCGTTATCATGCGTTGGTGTGAGGTTATGTTGTTACGTCCGTGGTCTGTGTAAGAGGTATTACTGTATTTACCTTTTTTCTTTTCACAATTTTCCTTGAAAATCGATAACAATATTCCATTGCATTGCCGATAACTAGCACCATGACTAGCACCAGCCGCACAGGCCACTACGCAGGAGAGTTGTAAGTGCATATTGTCTGTCGTGTCGGTAAATAATAATGTACTAATAATAATCAATTAATTCATTAATCTGATAGGTACGAAGATCTTTTTATCGGAGACCGTTGAATAGCAGAACGCACCGAAATTTATCATTTTATCGCCGAAACAGCATCTGAGAATAATATTTTAAAAAGCCCGTTTTTGATACTCATACTGTAGATTGCTACCGTACACACTCACACACATAATATATTAATTATTATACTTCTTGCAGTCAAGAGGTGAGTTTATCTTTTCCCCCTCTGCGTTCGCGTGCGCGCATCCAGGGTCACAAGGTGCTTGCAAGTCTTGTTTCCGACGTTATATTGGAGAACCGGAGAGGTTGCAGATTTCATTTGCTCGGCGGTTTTCCGCTGATTAACAACAGGCTAAATGTAGCCGGTTGTTATTTATTTATTTATTCATTTTTCAATTTTTTAAAATAGTTAAACAGTATTCAAATTTTGAAATTTCGTTAATTTATTTTTGTCTTTCAAAGGGTAAAAAAAAAAATATGGCCACAGAAGATTTCTTTGAAGGGGCCGAAAAGCTGTTGGAAATATGGTTTGGCCGTCAAGATAAAAAATTTGAAAACGGAGACTTGAGAAAAATACCAAGGTAAAATTTAATATTAAGTTCCTCAAACTATCTCTTAATTTTTTTATTTATTTTTTTTTTTTTAAATATGTTGGTAAAGAGAAAAATGTTTGGATTTTAGTCCTTGGCTATAGTTTTTGTTCTGTTTTAGAATATTTAGTTTATAATTACATATTAGCCTTGAATCAAACCGTTTATTTTTTGGTTTAATCATTTAAATCTTTCACTTGAAGAAAATTTTACTTATGAGATATAATAATTGTAAATCTTGTTATTTATTAAATGTATTGTCATTAAAAAAAAAATGCTATATATTTACCTATATAGTTAAATGATAATTTTTTTTGGTGAAACATTAACTAGTAGATAGTGAGTACCAACCTACTTAATATATTTAATTAGTTTATAAAAGAAAATGATTTGATTCACTTTAGTATTAGTACTTGCCTGTGCTATTTTGATTAACATTTCAATTTCACAAATTGAATAGTAATTTTTGAATGATTTTTCTGTATAATCTAGTTTACTTTTATAATGAGCAAAAACACCCTTATCTGATTGAAACTACAAATAATATATAGAACATAAATAATTGCCTAAGTCACAAATATTATTTATGCTGAGAACAGTTTCCAAAGTAAGAAGGCAATTAAAAAATCGTCTTCTTTTAATTGGGAAAATACTGATAATCTATGGTCAATCTTTACATATTTAATGATAAATAAAGCTATTAGTATTAAAATTTCTTTATAAATTGTTATAAAAATATTTTAAAATTCGAAAATCAAAAAACGGTTTTCAAAAAATGTGATCGTTAATGTAGATTTATGTGAGTGTATATCTTATGTCTTACTACAACATGGTTTTTTTTTATTTAAGATTAATTTAATTTGTTTGCTCACATTTTATTTACACTACATTATTTATTATCTATTATAATACATGTAAATTGAAATTCATCCTATAAAATAGAATAAAACAAATATATTTTTTACTTTTTAATTATTATATTTTTCATTTTAAGCACGAGTGTTTAACTGTAAAATACTTTATAATGGTTTCCTCAATGTACCTACTTAAATATATTTTTTGGTTGCATTATATCAAATAACTTTGTTGCTTTTGTTTGCTTAAACTTGGAGGTGACTATTGTACTAATTATAATTTATAGTCAACATTAAATTTTTAAAGTGAAATAAACAATGAATTGTGAGATAATGAATAATAATTTGGAACTTGTCACATTGTATATAAAATACTATGTAATTAGCTACATATGAAACTTAATTTATTAAAATACAATGATCATTTTTTTTTTGTGGATAGGAGGGGAGGTCTATAAAAATTTTTTTTATAATTTCTGTAAATTAGAAATTTAACTCAGTTCAGACTATAAGCAAATAATTGTACGAGGGCGGGCTGATAAGTAATGCCTCTTATCTTATAGTTATTTTTAGATGTACGATAAAATTATCATTTGTTGTCAATATAATAGTTTATGTCGTTGGTTTAGTGTGTGCGAAAACGCGATAGTGTAATGTTAATATTTTATTATTTATGGAATCTATAATGACGGCCCCTCCAGATGTGCGGTTCAAACAGCGTGCTGTTATTGAATTTCTCGTATTTACGGCATTTCTAAATTAGTAAATTATTGGCAAAAATGTATCGCCTTAGAAAGTAGTTATGTTGAAAATTAATAGTATGTAAATAAAAATCATTTAAATTACTATACGTGTGTTTTTCATTAATTATTCTATGTATAATACTTTTAAAACTACGCGTAAAGAGGCATTACTTATCAGCCCGCCCTCGTACATATTTCCTGATTATAACATGAAATCGTGACAATAAGTGAAGGAATCGAAGCAATCTTACCTACATTTAAACCAAGTTTGAGTAAGTCTAGTATTGATCAGAATCATTTTTAAAATATAAAAATCACCCCATTGGGAATTTGCTCAATTTTAAGTAAAACTATTGTTTATACCACAATATTGTATTTTCTATACCTGATTATAATAATAAAAAAATGTTTGTTAATTTAAGACATTTATTCATTTCTACAAATTTAAAATTCTGAAATAACTATTTTTATTTATATTTTGTTTTGTTTGTGAACTTGATTTAAGAAATGTTACTTAAAAACAACAATATTACTTTATAACTTATTTTAGTGCATTTTTTGGGAACAGTCCAATTATTTTCGGCGCCAAAAATATGAAAAAAAAAGCCATAATATATGTGAAGGTTAATAATAATATAAATTATTATATAGTTTAGTCCATGTCTTTATGTATAACTTGTTATATAATTTGTATTATTTTATGATAAAAATTTACAATATTTTAACAACCACAATTTATCTTATTCTCGTCTATGTGTGATAAGGTAGTGCTAAAGTGCCTCATAATATGTGTATAATTAATAAAACGATAAGCCTATTTTATAGATTCAAACATTGAAATTGATTTATCAATATTCATACTACTTTTTTTTTTTTATTAGCACTAGTAATTCATACTACTAGCTACTACTATATTGAATATGATACTTCAATTTAAGTGATAAAAAAATATATGCATAAAAGACTAATAATACGTGTCTATAATAAGTATCTATAAATTGTCTCAGTAAATAAAAAAAAATAGAATGCAATTTTAAATATTAATCTTAACTTCTCACAACTCATGTGTATATGAATTTAATTCGTGCTAAAAGCTATGATATTGTACTAATTTAAAGTGTAAAAATGAAATTCTTGATAAGAAATAACATATTGTAAGAATTTAATGTTATTTACTATTAATAAGTTTCCCGTTATTAAATAATTATTTAAAATTGTATAAAAAATTACTGTGACAATTTTGAACTCTGATCATAGCCGTTTCAATTTATTTTAAGATTGTATGTTTATATTAGGGTAGTAAGTAAATGTATATAATGGTATCTATAATTTAATATACCTAATTATTTATGACAGGTAAAAACTGAACACAATAGATTATAGAATCTTAAATACATTACTATATAAGTAAACCATATTAAATATACAATTGTCTTAAACAAACTAAAATATAAGTTAGCTGAAATATAATAACAAAATATAAAGTAGGATTATCATAAGCTATAATTTCTTTTACTAAATCAAATTAAGTTATCTATATCAATTGAATTATATAAAATAATCTTGATATTAAGAATAACCATTATAAATAAAAAAAACCAAAATATAAATAGTGGTTAAGTATAGCTAATAACCACTGCAATTGAAATTTTTAAGATATAATTATTTTTCAATAAATATCAAGTGATAATATACTATATAAATGAACAAGAATGTTAATACTATTTTGAAAAAAAAACATACATTTAATGATATAAGTAGGTGTATTGTGTAATACCTATTATTTAGTTTTCAAATAAAATAAAATTTAAAAAATAATTTATTTTTTGAATTTGACTTATTTTAATTACTTTAGCTTATATTCCATAGTGTCTTACAAACATATTATTATTACATACTACTAGGTAATTACTTATTTGTCACTTACAAATATAATTTTATGTATAAACTACCTATATTAATAATAATTATTAATATTTTTAACTAGACATATTTTTTATAGTAACATTGCTGACATATATCTAATCAACGAAATTATTATCTGTATTTTTTTATCTTGAGATTTATTTTTATAATTGTATTTTGATATGGTTAAAAATAATTAAACCATATTTATTTAATATCAAGCTTTATTATAAATTGAATAGTAATTACTAATTAGGATTTATTTAAATCTCTTATTAGATTAAACTTAACTTAATAATATTTGATTGTAAATTATCAAATTATAATACTTTTATCTGAAGTATTTTAAATATTCTAATAATCAAGCATAGAAAACATATATAAACCCTTCATTGAAAATTAAATTTTAATACATCAAAATACTTCAAAAAATATTGTGCTTCAAAGTATAAAATAACAAATGTACGTTGTCATTCATAATAGTAAAAACATAAAAAAAATAAACATTAAATTGTATTAAACAAACTTCAATAAATTATAGGTACTGAGAAAAAACCAGGAAAGTCACTTTTTTTTCCAAAATGGCAATTTTGGTATGCCGTTATTTATTGAAGTATTATATCTCTTAAGCAGTCCAGGGAAAAAAAGGTTATTTCTTTTTATTTTTAGTCAAGAGTTATGACCGAAGTTTAGGCATACAAGGAATACAGGCATAGTTTTGAAATTAAAACATGTTCTTCTCAGAATGAAAAAAATTACTTTTCTGGGTTTTTTTCCTGTACTGCTTTTTGTAATTTTTATTTCATTTAATCTTAGTTTAAACATAATGATGTCTAGTCTAGCTATAATATTACTTCAACAAGTATTTTAAAATATGTTAATAGTTTTCAAAAGATTGAGTTTCTTATGTTAAAAGAGTTGCCCTTTATTAAAACTAATAATTACATATATTAAAGTCCTTAATTTAGTTGATTGAAAACTAGCCATAACTTTGTTTCGAGTAATAAACAATAAATGAGTGCAATCCCCACATTCCCCTGCTAGACAATTTTTTTTGTTTAATATTTCTATTTACCTTTTATATATTTGTTTTTCATTTTTCATTTTTGAACATACAAATAATCAGTTATCATTTATCTGCTACAAAATTTTAGATTCTAACTAGTGCATTGATTTTATGTATACATTTTGTAATGAAAAATGTTTTTGTTTTGTCTGGCATCACATTTTGTAACAGAAAAAATTGTCAATCTTAACTTTGATAGTGGTTTTGGTAGGAAGTTAGAACTAATTGGTACAATAATGTTAATAGTGAAAAATTTCCAGTACTTAACAAAATAATAGATAAAGATTTTAAAACATATTACAGAAATACTAGATTATTTATGGAGTACCAGTTTTTGCAGAATTGGTTTTTTTTTTTGTAAATCAAAAACATACCCGAATAAACTTGAAATTTTTCTAAATATTATATAAAGTATTTTCTAGACGTCATGATAACATTTTCAAAATATTTTGGCTTTTTCATCTTTTCATTGCTTTTAAATGTTATTTGTTTTTTGTTTTTTTCATAATATTAATACATTTTTGAATCTAAGTCGAAAAGCTTGAAGTGTAATCCAAGGTTCCGTATAAGTTGTTCTCAAAAATTTAATTTTTTGTTAAAATTATTAATACATAATAGCTGTAATCAATGTTTTTATATGTACATGAATATTTTAACTTTACTGAACCAATCTTTGAAAATGTATAATGATTCATTATGATTCATAAGTTGTTCTTACTGGAATTATAATTATTATACTACAATATAATGTGATATTTTTAGAAAAATTTGTTCCCCTCACTTTTAGTTATATTAATCAATTGTTATTTATTACATATCCTTAGAAATAGAGGTTAGTACACCATTTCTCATCAGAATCGTTTTTGTATGCAATGATATTTAACTATTGGATTTTTGTGTCCAACACACTCATTACAATGACTTACTCAAATAAAAGGTTCATTAAGCAGAGGGTCATCCCAATTTTTAATAGCAAAGATATATGGGAAATGTTTATCATCACTCATTAAATTACTATTTTAGTATTATTATTTATGTATATAATATGTATAAAATAAATCATTGATGTATAACAGGTACCCATATACCGAAAGATTAAAACTAACAAGTCTATATGTGTTATATTCTGTAATATTGCTGTTCAGTTACTGTAAAGTAGTACAAATGTGATTAAGAAATATGAGAAACATATTGATTTTAATGTGGTTTTAATAATATTGCTGTATAATTTTTTATTATCAGAATAATTTTATAATTTACTTTTGATCTATCTTTAATGTAATTTCATTAACCCTTATCTTCCTAATCAGTAATCATTTCAAATGACCAATTTCGTCCTTTTGCACACATGTTTTCGATTGTAAATATTTTAATGCAAAAGTGATAATTTTGTTTGAGTAAGCAATAAGCATATAACCCGAGTTACCTTTAGTACTCTTTTATGTTGTAAAATCATTATTGAAAACTGCAATAAAATTTAATGACAATGTATATATATATTCCTTTTGTTTATCACATTCACAACAAAATACGTTTTACTAAAATAACTATCAATACACCTATTTAATGCTCTAGTTTTATTTTATTATTAATAATTGAATTATTTTCAAATTTGTACAGTTTGAACAATTTAATGATCTATTTGGTATATGAATTTTTTTTATGTATAACAATTGATTTTTAGACATTTCATTTGTCATTATATATATTATACGGTACTTAAGCACTAGGGAATTGTATGAACCCAGATAAATTAAAGAAATAAAATATGGCGGTGACTATCATAATTTGTATAATACTGTAAACATCTAATGCAATGACCTCTTCAAAAACATAGATAAATATATTTAGATAAAGTTCTTTACAAGTTATAATATCGCTTAATAATCTTGTTTTATACCTAACCACTTTAATTAATGTAATGTTGTTTGTTATAGAGAAAAGTATGAAGACCTCTTAAAAGCTGCTTGTTGTGAAGTTATCAGTTACACCAGTAATGACAAGATTGACGCTTATGTTCTGAGGTAAAACACTAAAAATAAAAGTGTTTTTATTAAATCTAATTATCTAAAATTATGATTTAAAAACATTTATTGATTGGTTTTGAAATATTTTTAAAGATAGTTTATACATTAAAATTAATATAAAACTGATAAGGTGTTCAACTCGCTTAGCTCACCTCAGCAGTAGCCTATGTTATGCTATTAACCATGGTCCATGGCTATCAAATTAATTTAATTTTAATTTGATAAATGTACTTTTGAGTACATATGTAGGAAATTGTATCATCATATATTATTATTACTATTATTCATGTATTCATAATTCATATCTATAAAATATTAATAATAATTAATTGGTCAGAATTTCAAATCTTTATAGCTACAATTTCCTGAATACCAAATAACATGATTTAAAATATATTTTGCTTTAACCACGGTACCACAAAAAATGATTCATGTTCGTTACATCACCTTATGATGTAGCCCTCCTACAAAATTATCCAAACCGGTAAATTTATTGAGGTTACTATCTTGGTCTCACTCTAAATGTAAAATATTATGTCATCAGTATTAATACCCTCTAATTATTTGATCAAAAATGGATATGTACCCTCAACTAATAATTTTATCTGATCTTGGTTTTCATTTACTTTCACGTTGTGTCATAGTCTACTAATGAGGCAACATGCAGCACTAATTTTTTTGGTGTTGTCCAACTAATGGGCTCTGAATTTAAATTACTTTTCTGATTAAAAAGTTTTTTTTGTTCTTTAGTTTGCCACTAACTGTAAACGATTCTGTCATTTTGGGAACCATTCACAAATCTAGTGACAAATTACTACATCTAGTGACTCTCAAATGTCGGAAACGAGTACTAGAGAAACTGTCCTACGGTTTGCTTTCCTATATCTTCTTAACATTGACTGCCTTCTAGTCTCCAGTAACAACAAAAAAATAATTTGTCATACTTTTAGCCCCTGGTTTCTACTTTTTATCAAAGCTTGGTTTCCTAAGAGATTGATTTCCTTTATATTGCTTTTCCAAATTAATTTCAAATTTCCCGCTTTCTAGATGAGACCCAATTTTTCATTCTGTATATTTTATTTTTCCTATTCTAACTGGTTCTCGTACATTCCTTTACCACCCCTTATGTACTCGCATGGTTAGTAACTGATATGGTTTTTGGTGGTAAGCATAGATGGTAGTGCAGTCCATCAACATAATAAAGTTGATAACCAGGGCTCGTAAGTTTATGTATTTGCATGTTTTTTGCTACATAAGAAAACATGCTAAAGTGAGGTACAAATCCATTTCATAATAATAGTAATACAAATATAAAGTTCAATAATACATATTTTGGGTATATTAGGCATATAGTAGTTTTTGGAGTATTAGTGCTATTATTAAATATGGATAATATATTTTTTTTTTGTATGACTTATGGTTTAATTAGTTTTATGGCAGTAGTACAAGAAACAATGTTTTCCTATAAAAATCATAAGAAAACTTAAAATAAAACTTAAAAAAATAAAGAGATATTTCTTATTGTTACCTTTTTGAATTATTTACTGCATTTATAAATGCATATTTCAGAACTTTTTAATACATATTTTCCAGTTTTTAGTGTATAAGTGCATGCTTATTTAGTGTTTTTTTAAAACATGAACTTACGAGCCATAATGATAACGAAACAGTCGAAGTTTTGATTTTTGTATTTTTAAATTAAATATAAAAAACTTATCAGACCACAAATATGTTAGATCAAACTCACTGCAACGATGCTACTGGCATAACTATTTTTATATAGTATAAATTGTATTATAACTGTTTCTACAAAACTAAAATAAAATTTCAATCAATAGTAAGTTAAGTACAATAATTAAATTTGTTGAATTTTATATTTGCAGTGAAAGTAGCATGTTTGTTACAAAACGAAGATTCATATTGAAGACTTGCGGCACAACAACTCCAATAGAATGCATTAAAGACTTACTGATCAACGTGCGTGAATTCACTGGATTTGATGAAGTAGAAGATGTGTTTTATTCTCGTAAAAACTTTAAACGTCCTGAACTTCAAAAAGATACATATCGCAACTTTAAATTAGAAATTGAATCTTTAGATATTATGTTTAAAGGAAGTATGTAAATATTACACTTTAGAAGCAACGCAATAAATACAATTTGTTATTAAAAACATGTTCTACAGCTGGAGTGGCTCGGTGTATGCGTTCATCAAAAACAGATGACTCTTGGTATTTATATGCATTGCATCCAGTTGAATATTTTGGAAAAGAAAAACAAAAACCTGATCAAACATTAGAGATACTCATGACAAATTTGGATCCTGATGTCATGCAAATATTCACTAAAGAACAGTCGGCGAATGCAAGTCAAGCTACTCAGGTACAATAAATATAACATTCAAAATATATTTTAATTTACTAAGAATAATAATTAATGTTTATGAATACAATTTTAGGATTCTGGAATATCGGAATTGTTGCCTAATATGGAAATTGATGATTTCTTGTTTGAACCCTGTGGTTATTCTATGAATGGTATTGCGAAAGAGGTAAAATCATAATATTATCAAATTTAACTCTTAATTACTAATTATTTGTTTGTTTAAAAAATATTATTTAATAAATCTTAAATGTTTCTTTCATTGTTGATTTTATTATCAGTGGAAATATCACAAAATAAATATGAATGTATTATATATATATTTTAATGTTACATAATTAATGTATGTTTTTGTTTTATAGGGACATTACATGACTATTCATATAACTCCACAACAAGAATTTTCTTTTGTTAGTTTTGAGACTAATGTTCCTCAAAGCTCTTACAAGGAACTCATTTTAAAAGTGCTGAAAACATTCCAACCAGAAAAATGTGTGCTTACCATGTTTACTAACGAGGTATATAAAAATTCTAAAATTACTTGACCATCTATCAATCTATCTAGCTATGTTAAATATTTTTAATTCAATAACTTGTTGTTTACAAACAGATATCCCCGGGTCATTCAAATCATAAGGAATTTAAATATCTAACACATCTGGGTGAATGGCAGCAAGACTCAAACAGGACTTGTTCCCTAAAGAACCATGACCTAACTGTATCGTTTTACTCCAAATACCCAAGCTGAGATCAACCGGTCTGGGACACGCCTCTCATCGAAACCCAAATGCTGCTATTGCCACATTACACAGCTGTCCTAGTCGTTCTAGTCTGCATAAAAACTCTATGTATCACCAAACCTATTTATCACTTTGCGTGGCGTCGTTTTAAAAATAGTGTAGTTATTCTACATTCCGGTGCATACCAGAATTCTATAACATAGTTGTTTTTATTTGTTCATGTAATTTTTTCAAAAAAAATATTCATGAACATTGTATGTTCCTGTTACGGACACTATATACGCTTGGTTCAATTGTGATTATGTGGCAAGCATTTTGATTTGAGGCAGATACAAAATTGATGCGCCATAAATAAATTTCCATTTATAAATATTTGTTATTACATTTTTATATATATTTTTTTTCGAAACATTACATTCTCTTAGACTGTTTAGACACCTACTACTTTTAAGTGTATGACATTGTTTTTACATTTTAATTATGCATTTTATTATGTTATTTGTTTTAAAATATTAATTTATGAAAATAAATTGTTTCAAAATAGAATGTTATATATTATAAAGTTATAAACTTAGTTATTAAATGCTTTAGTTTATACATTTTCTTCCTTATTAATTTTAATTATTATCTCTTCAGATCAGAGAAACGTTGTATGATTACATTATTTATTAATAATAATGGACATAACTATTGCAATCACTCAATTATGTTTTATTGTGTTTCTTTAAATAATATTTATTATGATTTTAAACTCAATTTGAGACAAATAAGAGTAGGCATGTGTATAAATGATAATTATGCTATTTATTATTTAGTTCCAATATATCATATAATACTTATTTATAGTCACCCTCCAAATGGCACTTTTACCCAGTCCTGTGTTAACTACCGTATGTCGCCACCATTTTTTGAAATTTCTAAAAAATATGTCACTGTGCTTTGGTGTTCCTAAAATGTGTGTCACCTGTGTGCTAAGGAATACCCCCCCCCCCCCTTGTATTTCATCAATAGTGTGAACTGCTGGAATCTGGTTTTATGTATAAATAAATAATTATTATTTTTGATTGTAATAATTAATAGCAAAATTTAAGACTCGATTTTTTTATACTTTCCATGTCGATCAAAACATTTTTTCTCAATCAAAATGCTTAAAAACTGAATGCAAGTTTCCTTATAAGTTGTTATTTAAAATTCAAATTTTGTAGTTGAAAATTTATAAAATTATACATTTTTTACAGCTGAGATTTGAAAATTTAATACAATGTTCCTCATGGATAATTTCATACTGAAAAAAATAAACACAATTTTTTTTTTGACATTTGAAGTTCAAATTCGGACAAAATTATAATATATTCAAACAAAGATCAATTTTAGTCACCTATTTCACTGTAATTCAAAATTATTATTAGTGGGGACTTGAAACTTTTACATATATTATTATTTATTACCTATATTTAAATCACACAATGACATTTTCATAAAAATTTAGATTAATTTTATGCCATTGCCAATATACCATGAACCTATAGGACCTATATATTCACAGTTCAATTTTTATTCACACTGAAATACCTACAAAATTGTTGAAAAATAAAACAATAATAATTGTAAAAATTATAGTACCAACTACCAAGTGAAATTAGTGAGTTTAGTACACACAATTTGGGCCTGGAGACCTTTTAGATTATTCGCATCTGCTCGAGTGTTATTTCTATATAATATTATTATTTATTCTATTATACAATGCCTGCATTCTTCTTACTGTAAACATAGGCAAAAAACACGGTTTACAAATTAATAAAAACTAATAACCCAAAATGTACCGGTCAAGTTAAAGGATAAACTAAAAAAAGCATAAAACTTAAACAGAAAATATATTAGCCAATGGGTTCGTATGACTTCAAGAGGTAGGTATTGTGGTTTTGACCCATTTTTATGAACATTTAAATACTTTAAATGCAATATTTAACCACAGGTGTGCCCTAGGGATTAGCCAGTGAAGAAATATTTGATCACTTTGTCCCTGCAGTACGAAGGTAGGTATACAAAGTACCTACATCTGATCACGACTCAAATACCTACTATAATAGTTCTAACTTTTAATAACTTGTAAACAGATTTGTTCAACAATGGTGTAGAAGGGAGGGGTGCAATTTGAAATTCTTATAAACAATAAATGTTTTGTTTAAACAGATTTCATGTAGGTTGGGCCATGCTAACCTATGGGCCATGCTGCTCCAATACTTAACTACGAAATAACTCTGTTTATAATACATTGTATTAATATAGGTAAGTAGGTAGGTATATTCTTTTCGATTCTGATCACAACATCGGGCATTGCATAGCCGTCTTGCTAGGACTTCCACTTTTGTATATATACCTATATCTTATTATCTTATAATATGTACAGGTGACCAATAAAGACATGACCAAACGTTATACAAATAGTATATTAGTATGTTATATAAGAAGAATATTAACAAATGTAGGTCATATCTTATGATAATATTAAAGAACAACGTGACTTTATATGTTCTGTGCGGTGAACACTGGGAATTGTAACATAGGAGTGAGGACGTTCATTGTCATCTTCCAGAACATCAACATCCATAGGTTCCAATTGATTTATATATTCTTGAACTATATTTAAACCATTGAAAAAAAATATATAAAATGGTAAAATTTGATGGGCATTGTGAGAGAAAAAAAGCTTTCTACTAGAAATTGTCTTCAGACAAAAAAAATACCTACTTTGTTCGTACCTGGTAATATATAGTCGTGATCCATTAAATGAAAATTTTCCATAGTAAAAAATCAAATAAAAATTTAAAACTGAAAACCTTCAAAAATGTGTAGGAGTGAAGTTTAAATAAAATGCGTATAGATTGAGTTAAACAAACCTGTGACCCAGTTTTCTATAATATGTTATAATTTCAAGATCTATAAATAAATAATATTGGATTTTCACATAATAGTGATAGGTAATCATCTTTTCTACTATCTTATTAATTGTATTAAATATGAAACAGCATTTTAGATTTTAAGCACAGAGATGAATATTAATTTATAATAATATAATTTTATTTTTTTTGTGTAAAAAAATTATTTTTTAATTGCATATTTTTATGTATATTTTTTTTTCGTATATCTAGTATTTAATTAAAATAATAAATGCATCAAATACAGTGAATATTAAAACATGTTATTATATACCTATATATATAAAAATAAAATATCTTTTATCATTAAAAAAATGTTAAATAAGATTAACAATGATGCCATAACAATATTTAAAATTAATAATTTGTCAGTCTTGTAAAGTACCTAAGTAAAATTGATTTTAAATGGATATACATATAGACAGTCTTATTTAATGTTCCATAAGTTAACCCTTGTAATTTTATAGTTTCTACTTTCTACACTAAAACACAAGTGGAGTTCAGTTAGGGAAGTTCAATTAAGGGAAAATTAAGATGGTATGTCGTATATGTATATATCTTATAATAAAAAAAACAATATCATTTAGTTAATCATATATTAATTTGTTTTTATTCTATTAATGATTACATTACGTTTAAATTAATTGAAAATTGTAACGCATTAAAAGGTAAACCTCTAAGTTTATGTTACATAAATTCTTATATAATATAACATTTTTATTTAATTTAATTTATACATTTTTCCAACATTGCCTTAAATTAATATTAATTAATATATTATACATTTCAATTATTGTATTAAATATTATAACTAGTTGTATCCATTGTATTTTTGTTAATTGTTTCTTTGTAATGTCTTCCTTGAGAACATAGCTTATGTTTAATGTCTTCAATGATGGGCTTGTAGTAAGTTTTTGTTTGAAGTGCACCATGGCTGATGCTGAAAAAAAAATTAAGTATTTCAAATTATTTTATGGAAAAGATTATAAACATTTAAAATTAACATTTTGACATTTAATGTGCATCAAACCCACTATAATTGACCACCTTATTTTAATTTTATTTCTTCAGTCCTGTTAAATAAGATTGTATTTAGTATTAGTATTTATTTATTTAACGCAATAGTGCAATACTATTTACAAGCAAATTTTGGAGTATCGCATGAAGAAGGTACCCGACCAGTTTTCTAAATTCTAAATTTTAAATCTATTGCGGTACTTACACAGCATTTCGAATAATAGAGATATTTTATTCGGTAACGTTGGTGTACATGTAGAAGGTTAGCGATAAAAATGTCTTATCATTTTTCGAACAACTATCGGGATCCGCAATGTTGTATTTTATTATTTACATTTGGTCGCCGCGTAAACGCGTAAATACGTAATGTGTGTGAAATGTTGATATTTGCTAGTTGATACCATTGTCCATTGATATCAATTTTCAATTAAGTATACAAAATTTAAAATACAATTTCTAATTGCATTTAGCATTATTATATTTTATTACATTAATTTACTATAGAACTTTACTACAGACAAATCATACAGGTCCTTTTTTTGAATAAAATGTTGAATTTAAAAGAATATGGTAGCAGTAGTGACGAAGAAGGTCTAACGAAAGACGAAACACCTCTAGAAACCCCTTTTAATAATGAAATAAGTGTTCATGAATTAAATGCAAAGTTTGCAGTAAATGCAACTCCAAATGTTTTGCCACCAGTAAGTATTTCAAATGTATATTAATTATGTACTGCTCAACTTGATTCTTACAATTTGAATGTTTATTTAAAATTACTATTTGAAAAATTACATTTAGCTTAAGTAGTAAATATTATATTGTATAGTACCCAAGGGTGTATTGGAGCGTATACGGCATATACTCTTAAGAGGACGCTACACCCGCATGTGTTGTCTCCGTCTTACAAACGCGTAACATAGAAAATTACGTCCACGGAAAACAAACGAATCGGCATCAAAAAGTGGTTTTAGAGTAAAAATACCTATAATAAAACTTAAAGAGAACAATATTTTGGAGGGAACCTCATCGGCGTTTTTAAAAATATTAACTAT